TGTTTGTGGCTGAGTCCACTGAGCATCAGATGTGCCTTTTTTAAATTGGCTCAGAGGAGTCACCAGCTGTAGTCAACTGTAATCACTCACAAGGAGGTCATGCCACAGAAAATGTGATTAACAGCTTTCTACATCACCAAAACTGATCATTCAAGTTGCTGGATGTTTATTTTTGACCCAACAGATTCTGTCATATTTCCAGACGACCTATAACAAATCTATAAAAGAGCTAAAATGCATGATTGTTCTTTATAACAAAGACTTGATTTGATTCCAACATAGAAAATTAGCAGTTATGGGAGTCATTGGAAACTCAAGACTGCCATGATAGACATGTATGGACTTTACAACTGTATATACAGCATATTTATAGTGGTGGTGGCTCAGGGGTTGAGGCTTTGGGCTACTGATTGTAAAGGACTCAAGCTTTGGCCCTTAACCCTCTCTTCTCTAGGGGTTGACCTCCAGTGTGACCAAGAGAATTTCCCCTTGCAGGATCAATAGCAGATATAAAACAAATAAATACAAATATATAGATACATATGTATGTCTCTATATGCTAACTTTTCAGGTTTTGTTGTGGTGTGTTATGTCATTCATAAATAAGCTGATCATCATGTGTGAAACATCCCCCCAAATAAAGTAAAGAAAAAAAGAGAGCAGACGTGTTACAAATGTTGTCAGTAGATTATATTATTCTCTTTTTAAAAAAGACTTCACAACAGGAATTGACTTCATTCATTCAGACAAAAAGCCTTTACATGTGTAGAGTTTTTCACAGAGTTCATCACTTACTGCACAACAACAGTCCGGCGCTGAATGTCTGAACCACCTTCTGCATTTGATCACCGTCAGTGAGGACGAGTCACATGTAGAAGACTCGTCAGTGCTGACCTGTGAGCCGACTGAAACGAGGACAAGCTCCAGAAACTATTTATTTCACTTTATCAGGCGTCCGATGATTTAACACTAAAAGGTCTCGTTTTTACAACAAGGACAACACAAATCTGGAGTCAAGGCTGTCTCCAGCAGACTGTTCCCTTTATGTTTATTAATGCACATCATTTAAAATGTCTGATGTTGCATTCTGCATCAGTCAGTCTGTGACATATCCTGTGATTCTGAATTTTATCTAGTGTCACTAACAGGTTTTAACTGACCAACATTTCAGTTAGTAAACAGTGAATTCCCAGCAGCCTCAACTTGAGATGAATGTTAAAACAGTGTGCTAACATGCTAAATATCTGCATGTTTATCACCTTTTAGTGAAGGGCTTTAACCATATAAAGGTAGCATCATGTCGGTCTGACCCACAAACATGCAACCTGGTGACCAACAATCTCAAACTATTGATGGCCTACATCCAGATTTCATCTTTTATGAGTACTTTAAATACTTTTTGATCACATTGGCTTAAAGGTTGAAGGTTGACATCACAGCATGTTGTGTTTTAGCCAAATGCACAACAAAGCTGGAGCTAGCAGGAACTGATGTCTGACAGAGGGTAACTGGAGCGTTCTAACAAACGCTAAGCGAGCTAGCTGTAGCTAATTGATGTACAGCTGAGAAGTCCAGCTCAGACCAATGAAATGTCCCAACATGGCCACCGTACAGAGAACAAATACATGACCTGAACTCCAGCAACGTCTCCTTTGGGATAAAGAATTTTCATAAGAATTAATCCGAGGAATAAATTCCCTCAAACTTCTGCTGCACCTGTAGCCACGCCCCCACTGTGATGTCACAGGGTCCTGGCATACACCTGTACATCACTGCAGCAAGGTGAGCTCAACCAGTTTGTCAGTGGAGTCTGTCTTTGAAGAAACAAAATCATTCCACATGCAGTCGACTACAGCGTACTGAGGCCACTGCAGATTTTCTTTTTTTTTTTAAAGACAATTATTGAGCTGGAAGAGGGGGTAATATTAAAATGATTCAATTAAATTACTATAGATTAAGAGGAAAAAAAATAGAAATACCAGGTATTATTCCTTTAGTGGACGACTTCATCAAATGTACTTTCAAATCTGGCAACAAGGAAATCACTGTGATCTTAGCCCAGGAACGCCTTTTTTTTTTTTTTTTAAAGGAAAAAAAAATAAAATGAAATTTACTTCTTGTAAACCTCAGAGAACATCCAAGTTTTTGTCGTGTGTATTGAAGACTTTGCTTTCAGGGAATATCTGAGTTTTTCCTTCAAAAGTTATGATTTTAATCTCAGAGAACATCTAACTTAAAAAACTAAATGAACAAATAAATAAACAAAATAAACAAATTTAATCTCAGAGAAGTTTATTTTTCTTGTACATTTCTGACTTTAATCTCAGAGCAAATCAGAGTTTTAGTCTCATCAATTCACCACTTCAATCTCAGAGAAGATCTGAGCTGTTGTTTTTTCCCTCATAAATTTCAGACTTTAATGTCAGGAAATATTCAAGTTTTTTTCTTGAAAATGTAAAACTTCAGAAAACATCAGAGCTTTTTTTTCCTCATAAATGCATGGCTTTAATCTCAGAATATCCTATTTTATTTCACAAGTTTAAAACTTTAATTTCAGAGAATATCAGAGTTTTTTCCTCTTGTACATTTACATGTTTCATTTCAGAATTTTCATCCTTTTTTTTTTACTTCATCGATCAGAAAAAATTGATCTCCGAGAACATCCAAGTGCTTTCTTGTAAATTTACCAGTTTAATGTCAGACAATGTCTAAGTTCTTTGTAAATGTACAACTTTAATCTCTGAGAATAGTCTTTTTTTTCCCCTCATAAATTTACCACTTTAATCTCAAAGACCATCAGAAGTTTACTCCAGAACATTCACGACTTTAAACTCAGACACAATTTCCAAGATTGTGTCATAAACTTATGACCTGAATTACTAAATTACCCTCCTTCTTCAGCTCAGTAGTATTTTTATTGATTTTTTAGAAGTTGTTGTACCTCCAATGGCCCTAATACGCTGTGGTTGCAGTCTCACTGAAACATATGTAAACGTGCTATAAACTGCAGCTTTTTATTTAAAGCTGAACTAAACTTTATTACTGTGCAGTAACTGTAGAACGTACACAAAAACCGTTCAAGACAACAACACAAAACTGACATTGATTCTAATTAAAGCTCTCATCAGTGTTTCTATATAAAAATGGGCCAAATTACAAGTTGGGATGTGATGAGAAAGAGGCTTTACATTCATCTGCTGGAGATGCAAATATGGTTCCTACGTCTTTGCTGAAACGTTCACATTTTCACAGCTACAGTTCTGCTGTCCCCATTAATAACCTGCAGCATTAGAGATGATGAAAACTGCATTTTGTTTCATAAGTCTGATCCAAATCTCAGCTTCATTAGTTATGATTTCAACATGGTTTGCTCCGTCAGTCCACTGAAACCGTCCACAAAGTGTAAATGCATAGTGAGTCTAAACAGCAGTGTTCATGTCGCTCTCTAACTCCACGCTCACCATCAGACCCTCCCCCCTCGTACTTATCATCCACCACATTCAGGCGTTTGACCTCTATAACTAGTATAAACCTTCCTGTTGTCTGTTTTGACTTACTGCTGGAAGGTGCAGCCAAGCAGGGCTAAAACGAGTCCAAATCAATTAAAAAAAGGAACAAAAAGCGGCCTTCTGTTTCTCCTTCTTCCCCCGATTGTTCGTCCCTCTCTCTCCCCCTCTCTGGCACAGTTTGGGTGTTTAGTCGAGTTCATATAAAAGGCGTCGGGAGTTTCTCTTCCACCCGACACTACATGATGATTCGTGGCTCTGGGACCGACTCGTTGATGGATTTGTGCGGCAGGACGTTGGCTCCGTTCAGGTAAAGCTCGTCGTTCACGATCACATCCTCCCCCAGCACCGTCACGTTCTCCATGCGCACCTGACAACAGATGAGTCATCAGTGAAGCTGACAGCAGCCGCGACAAGCTTCTACATTTCTAGCACGAGATAAATCTGAGACAAGTCAAGAAGAATTGTAAAAGTAATCTTCATCAACTGTTCTTTACTTTGTGGGATCAAACAGAACCAACAAATCTCCAACTGACGTCAAAGTCCTGATATGTTTGGATTATAATTCTGAACATGTCGTCAGATGAATAGAGAATTTCAACACTATGGCCAACTATTTTTGTCATTTATGACATTATAAGTCAGCTATACAGCACAAAAGAAGACAGAAAGAGTTTTTTTCTTATAAATTTACGACTTGAACCTCAGAGCACCCATATTTGTTTCTAGTAAATCTAAAAGTTAAATCCCAAAGAATATCCAAGGTTTAATTTTTTTAATTTCCGACATCATTCTTAGAAGTTTTTTTGCTCTAAACTACCAACTAATCTCAGAACAGTCAAGTTTTGTAAATTTAAATTAACAACTTCACTGTCAGAATATCCACGCTTTTTTTTTCCCTTGTAATTTTTTTTATTTAATTTAAACAATATCCAACTTTTACTTTTTGTTTTTTGTTTTTGTTTTTGTTTTTTGTCTAGTAAATTTATATATTTTAGTGTCAGAGAATATTTAAGTTTTCTTTCTTGTAAAGCTGCCGTTTGAATCTCAATGAATGACTTTATTCTTGGAAATTCTGTGTTTTTTTCTTGGAAAATTACCTCCTCCTGCAGCTCAGTATTTTTAATAAATTTTTTTATTTTTATTTTTTAAAGTTATTTTTTTGGCCTTTGTGCCTTTATTGGATAGTGTAGTAGTGAGAGAGAGACAGGAAAGTTGGGGAGAAGAATGGAGGAGGACATGTGGGAAAGGGTCATGAGCGGGATGCGAACTCATGACCTCCACATTGGGACTGTAGCCCTGCACATGGGACGCCAGCTCAACCAGGTGAGCTATAGTGGCGCCCCTAGATTTTTGAAATCTACATTAGCCCTAATACGCTGTTGTAGCAGTCTCACTAAAACATATGTTTAAGTCCAACTTTGTCATATGTACAAAAGACATTCTTGAGTTCTCTCTACTTCTAGCCATGGCTGTACTGTTTCCACAGAGGAGCAGGACTTTAAAATCTTCTGCCTCTTGAAGGAATCAACAGTTACAGGATGTTTCACTAAAAATCTAAAAATTAAGTGAAATATGCAACAATACAAAAAAATATTTGGAAAAACCATTGTGACTACAGTTTATTGCACTCTCTAAAACTCTTCCACTTCTCATCGCTCTACAACATCATCAGTAAACCACAAATCATTATACACCTGTTTGTGCTAGTTGATATTTTAAGGAGATTTTAGACACTCTCAGACCGATGTAAACCCTCTCTGTGCTTCTTTGGCTCACATTTGGACGTTTGTTTGGAAAATGCCATCAGCTCCTCCCCGTACTCACCCACTGTCCGACTGAGGAGCTCCACCCCACGATGCAGCTCTCCAGCCAGGAGTGCGACCGAACCCTCGACCCTTTCAGCACCGTGCACCGCTTTATCCTCACGCCGTCCTCCACGACCACGCCGGCGCCGATGGTGACGTTCGGGCCGATGGTGCAGTTCTCCCCGATTTGCGCCGTCGGGTCCTGCAGGCGAGAAAGTGAGCACAGACGATCCCCATCATGGAGCAACTTCCTGTATTATAGCGTCAACAAGCTGCACTCACCACCATGACGTTGCCAAGGAAACCAGGCCCTGTGCGTAGCCTCTCAGGAGCGTGTTGTCGTAGCGACTGGAGGTACATACACATCCCTGTCAGGAAGTCTTTGGGCTGACCGATGTCCATCCAGAAACCTGTAGACAGACAGAAAGAAAGACAGGCAGACACACAACATGCAGACATACAGACAGTGAGAGGAGTTAGTTACCATGGAAACAAGCAGGAGTTTCCTTGTGATTTCCAACAGGTGAGTTACTGAACATGAAGGGAGAGAATTTTTTATCTCGTATCAGTTTTCATAACTGCAGCGATCAATTTACCAGAAACAAACTGAATTTTAACGGCCATCTGGAAGTCAAACCGTCAATCTAACACTGCACTGAGGGAAATGAAAAAAGAGGGAAACATATTGACTTCTAGTAGATAAAACCTCAAGCTTCAGAAAATCTCCCAGACTGTTAAACTTAACAAAAATAAACTAAACAAAAATACATGTATTCTGCTACTAGACCTTCATCTGTATTACAGAGTGCAAGAAGGAAATTTTCAATGACATACAGAAAGCTGAAACACTATTTAGTCACAATCATAAATGGATCATAAAATTCTGAAAGGTTTACATTAAATGGTTAAACACTACGATGTGGATGCTTAAAACCCTCAAGGGCAAATCTGCATACCTCATAATGAAGTCTAGCACAAGTTTGCCTGCGTCTGTTCGACCATCCTCTACACATCTGTCTCATTAAACTGATTTTTAGAGAACTAAAGGAAACGTGTCATAATCTGAAAATCAATCAATACATCATATGAACATTATAAATCTGTAGTTGTGAAGCAAACTCTGCCCCAGCCTGCAGGTTTGAGCTCCAAGGTAACTCTGGTTTATTCCAACTTGTTGCCTTTCCGATGCACAGAGACACAACAGACACATTACTGGGAAATAAATTGTATTTTTCCTTTAAAGGTTTGTCGCTCTGATAATAGATCCAGATACATATGAAGCCAAAATAAATAAACGGATCCTATGTCTATAAAGTGATTCTATAGTTCAATAAATCTGCTGCAGGAAATCACAAGAACCTTCTGTCATTCTTTCACAGTTCATGGATCAGAGCTTCTGAGGGAACCAAACCCTCCACTACTGGGACCAGTCTGCCTGCCCAGACTACAGGACGGAGGGAGGTTTCACTGCCCAGCTAGGTGTTCCACTGTTTCAGCCTCCCAGAGAGGGATGAGGATCTAGAGAAGCACCAACAACAGACACCGGTCGGTTCTGGTCTGTTCTGATCCAGGTTTGGGCATAAAGACCGATCCGGTTTCAAACGTCCTGTTTTTTTCTGTGTCGGTGCTTCTCTACAATCGATTCCTCTCCAGAACTACGTGAGCTCGGATGAGAAGAAAAGCCCAAACACTTACGTCTGGTGGAGCTGTGAGCTGCAGAGACCAGAACAGGCACACGGGTCAACTATACAGAGACAATGTATTCCATTATACTGACTGCTGTGTTTCACTAGAGGAAGTGCCTCCAACACTTAGATGAAACAGCACCTTCTTCTGACACAAGCTGCATTTTCAAAACTCATATTTATCAGAACTAAGCACCAGTCACTTTGTCCACTGACAATTAAATAAAGTTCATTCAGACATGATGGCTGTGATCTCCGTGTTAACAGAAAGAGAAAGCAGTGTTGTGCTGCACTGCTGGTTTAATGGGTAACTTGGAGTTCATTATACATGTTGCAGTCATTTAAAAAATTAAATAAAATAAAATAAAAATTTAATATCTGAGAGTAAACAGCTCATCTTTCCTTTTTGATAGTATCTGTCATAATTAATAATCAGCTACTTACTGTGAGAGTAGAGGTATCAAATACTTCTGAGTGTTTCTTTCTTTTTTTTTAAAATAAAAGGCAACAATCTGAATTTATGTTTGTTTTTTTTGTCCGCTGCAACAACAACGTAGTGATCCATGCCTCCAAACCCGAAGTATAAACTCATCTTTGAATTTTATCATCTGCCTATTTGTCAGGGGCAGAAGTGGAAACATTTCCAACCCGATCAACTTTCTTATTTTACTTAAAGGCCTAGTAAACATGTTAACATGCAGCCTAATAGATAAACACTATTTGATGTGTTAACTTTTCTTTTTAATATAAGAAGTGCACAGCCTCCTGAAATTAAAACTAAATTAGCTCAAATAAAGGCATTTAGTTGTTTGAATTTAAAATGAAAACACAACCTAAAATTAAGTGATTGGCTTTCAAAACGGCACAGAAGGACGTCAAAGTGTTTCCTTGCTACAACATTGTGTGTATGTACTCGAAACTTTGGACGTTTTTGAAGGCTCCATGAGCAAAATACGACGTTTCTATGTTACGTGGTCAGTGGTGCATTTCAACAAAAGAGAGTTGAGTCGCAGTTCTTCCTACTGACGAGTCTGCTCTGAAGTTGCAGCACTATCTGATCTATGAGGGGCGATCAAAGACATCCAATACAGTTTGTGGCTTGTGAGCAGCAACTCACGAATCGGAAAACCACACTATCAATACCTGTACCAGTGTTACAAAGGTTTTTGTGTCCACTGCTAGGTGCACAGCTGTGATGGTGCTCAAACTTTAGCTGAGAAGAAAACATCACATTCTGTGTCAGTCAGCAGATGGACGATCCAGCCTTCAAGTGGAGCATCATCACTGGTGGCCAGAGACCCAGCAGCAGTTTTCACAGTAAAAGAGCTGCAGTCTCATGTCAGAGCACCCAGAGCATCGTTTTGATAAATTAAGGGATGAATTAATCCCCCAGGGTCCGAGTGTCAACACAGAGTTTTACTGCAACTTCAGTTTTGGCCACGACAATACAACTGCGCGGCTCACCAGATTCTATTCCCTGTAACTTCTCCCTCTTCCCCGACATGAAACTGAAGTAGTACAGTCGCCATTTTGACACAGTTTAAGAAATCCTGACAGACATGCTCGACATATTTCATGGGACCTCCAGGGATTTCCACGGGGAGAACTGCATCACTGCTCTACACAAAATTAAAATTGTTTTTTTGAGGTTAACAGGTGCAGTTTCTTAACTTTTTGATCACCCCTCATATTGTAGTACTGTGCTGTAAATCTGATGAAAAAAAGAGAGAGAGAGAGCTGGCAGGGTGAAATGTGTGGCGAAGAATATCAAAAGTGATTTGTGACAGAAATGTACCAGTAGCAGCGAAAAAGAAGGTTTACAAGTTAGTGCTGCAGCCAGCGATGTTACACGGCTGGAGACGGAGGCAGCAGGGTTCAAGATGCTAAAATCTGCACTGAGTTAGCGATGAGGACATCAGAAGGACAAAGAGAGGTGAGATTAAGCTGTTTTTAGGCATGTGGAGGAGAAGTGCTGGGTTTAAGATAAGATAAGCCTTTAATATTCCCACAGTGGGAAAATGTGTTTAAGGGATGATGAGATGATGTGTCTTTGATGAGCAGAGAAGAAAGAGACAGCAGAAAGAAAAAAGATGACGAAGAAAGAAAAAGAAAGCAGTCGTAGTTACCCTGCAGCTCCATGGCGTACAGCTGTCCCTCCTCCGCCATGACTGGAAATATTTCTTTCTCTATGGACGTTGGTCTCAGCTGCACACAAACACACATGAGAGGAAGTCACAACCACACACAAAACAATCTGTACACCATGATCCACAGCTACAACTACACTCTATAATGTAACACTTCAAAACTCAACCAGTAAAACAGAGTGTGTGAGGGGTTCACCTGGATCCTGCTCAGCATGCTGGGGTTGAAGATGTACATGCCGGCGTTAATCTTGTTCGACACAAACACCTGCGGCTTCTCGACGAAGCGATGGATCCTCCCGCTGTCCGTCTCAAACACCACCACGCCGTACTTAGAGGGCTCCTCCACCCGCGTTACCTGCACACACATCCACCAGCATCATATCTGGTTTAACACTGGGCTTTTTCTACTGGGTCAGATTTGTTTTTGTACATTTCATCCATTCATTTTAGTGTAATAATGCCCCGCGTCCAGCAGACACACTGAACTAACTAGAAAGTGAACATCTAAATTCTTTATTAAAAATTAATTTTAAACTGCCCATATTGGCCTTGTTGGGTTGCTTAATTACCCCTGGACACTTCGGGGCATCTACCAACATTGATTACACGTCTAAACTGTCTTTATCCTTTTGTTCCTGACTCTGTAAATTTCACACAAAAAGTCCGAACATCTCAAATTTGTCTTCAATGAAAAGTCATTAACATTTTACAAAAAAATGAATCATGGATACGTTTTACATGGTTCTCTAATGTGTTGACTCAGAAAGTAAAATTGTGCTTCTTCTATTTATTCATAGAGACATAATGGATGAAATAAGGGGGAAACCTTGTATTATAGAAATTTATGGTGTTTTAATTATCAGTTGGTTTCATTTTCAGAACTTAAAAGCATCAATTCTAGGAGCCCGAGGCTATTTTCAGGGTCATTTTACTACCTTTTATTTTACGTTTATCTAGTTTATTATACATCGGTTTTATTTTTTCTGAGCAGTCTATCCAGATCTTTCAGCATTTCTTATATTAGCTTTTACATCAAGGGAAGAAAAACATTTAGTATTGCGAAACTGCTGTGTTTCTACATGTATCCAACCATTAAACGTTGGGAGCAGAGACGTTGTTTCACAGCTGTGTCGAGGACATCGTTCTGAATCTGACAACATCAGAACCATGATGGTGGGATTCTGTATGTGCTTAGTGCCTAACCGAAGTAAATGCTTTTATTTTATTGACTGACGTGGTCACATACGGTAGCCGACCTGTAGAGGCAAATAGTCAGAAAAGACACTCCAGGAAAACACTCATTGATGTTAAAGTTTAAATTCTGTTTCAGCAGTTTTAAGTCCCTGCTTCACGAATTCACTCATCAAAATTCAGTTTTAAGGATAATTCCAGTTCATTTTACCCCAGTGTGTGTCCCATTAATGTGTCTGTTGTGTCTCTATGCTGACTTTGCACCCTACTAGAGATTAAGGGAAACAGTTTTCAGTGTGCCTGAATCACCCACTGGTGGACGTATTCGACCGTTCCGGACTGGCATATCATCTCAAAATAAATAGACATTTTCAGAATGTTATTGATGTTTTGTACTCTACTAGTGTGTTTCAAAAATCTAGCAAATCAAAATGAAAAATTCAGTAAATGATAGATTTTCTCACAGCGAACACGGCGGATGAAGCCGAGGATTATTTTGCAACAGAACTATTAATGTTTACTAAAACCTGTTCATCACCATGAAAGGGAAAATGTAAAAACCGTCGACTCTCCCAGAGAGCAGAAAATAAACACTGGTTTGGAAAATCTGTAAACACACATTAATAGATTCTGACACTGGACTGATAAACCAGCTGCAGCTTTCCAAATAAATCTGTTTTTTCTATGAATCATTTTAAATGTTTGCTTTCAGTCTGACTGGATCATCTTCTGGTGGATGGACTTTATCTTTTTGCACTGACAAACCAAAAATGTCACTCTGTTTTGTCAACTGTCTTTTATGTAAAATCACTAAAACCTGACATGACCATACTGCAGCAGCTGAAAGTAAAACCCATTCTGTCTCTCTCACCACGATGGTTCCCTCCTTGCCGTGGTTGTGGTGAAACTGAAGCAGATCTTTGAAGGGAAAATCACAGATGACGTCCGAGTTAAGGACAAAGAACGGCTCGTTGTCCACATTCAGCAACTCTCGAGCCAAAGCCAGAGGACCCGCTGTGGAAACACAATCATTTGTAAAAATGTTGTGGGTTCCTTTACACCCCATGGAGAGAAATGCTTCTATGTGTGTCCTGTTTAAACACGACAGTGCCACCATGCACAAAAGTTATTTGCCCAGTTAATGTGGAAGAAGCTCACCAGTTCCCAGAGGCTCCTTCTCATGAGACAGAGAGATATGAATCCCGAGCTGAGGAGAAAACAGAGAAACGTTCAGGATACTGCAGAATAATCAGTATCATCAGATCAAATACTTACTGAAAAACATGAGTAGAAGAAAAAAAAATTCCCTATTGCTTCATCACCTTTTCAAATGTTTATAACTAAAGATTCATCACCAACCACTGTCCACCCTTAAAAAAAAAAAAAAAAGAAGTGGCCAAGGTGCTGCTGTAACGTAATGAACAATAATCAAATAATCATGTCATAAAAATACAGTCAGGAGGCATTTGCTGAAAATTTGATTTAAATATATGTATCAAACCATTTAAATCTATCTATCCACAGATAGAGATATATATAATTGTGATCCAAGCAATTACTTTATGTCGTCACCTCCTGGAATAGAAACTTGAGTTCCACCAGGAACATTCTGGCAGCGCACCAGTTGTTTACCACCTTTAGCATGCTAGCAGCGTTAGCCTTTAAAGCTGCAGACGCTGTGTGATTGTTATGAATCCTGTATGAAGTGTAAACTCACACTCCATGTTTTAATTCCTGCAGCCAGGAGCTGTGAATGTGGAGCTCACACTGAATGTCAGCACGAAGCTCCTGCTTGCTTTGTCCTCTAATAAGTCAGTAAGGTTTAGTAAAATACGACGGCTCTCCTCAGTGTAGACAGACACATTACTTTGTGAAGTTCTAACACTTAAACTGTACTGCTGGCTTTAACGGTTAATTCCGAATATTGTTCAGAGGATTTAATAAACATTTAGTTTTATACTTGAGAGTAAACAGCTCAGAGTTCTTAGCTTGAAATTTTACAGCAAGAATTTTGGCCAACTGAACAGTTTTTATTGTTTTTATTTTTTGAACGTGAATGAATAAAAATGTTCACCTATCAGCATGTTCTATTAAACAACAACTCCAAGCCAATAATAAACAGTGAGTGTTGTGGACCACTCCTCTAAGCCCTACATTGTGTCAGGGGGGTGTTTTGTTGTACGTACTCTCTGCTCCTGGATTCTCATCTCTCTCTCCAGCAGCTCTGACATGTAGCTCACAGCCAGAACCACATGGTCCACACCGGCCTGCAGACACACACAAGAACCGATCAGCAGAGCTCAGAGCAACCTGTGAGCTGTACAGTTCAAAGTCTGCTCCATACCTTGACCAGCGCCTCCACCTGGTGCAGCAGGATGGGTTTGTTGCAGAACTCCACCAGCGGTTTGGGGACGCTCAGGGTGAGCGGTCGCAGCCGGGTCCCGTAGCCCCCAACCAGGATCAGAGCCTTCATGCTTCTGCTGTTAGCAACAGTTACCAAGGCGGACACAGTTCATCAATAAGGAGACGTCAACCTGCCTGAACAGAAAGAAGAAAAACCTACAATGATGAAAGAAGCGGATGTTTTCGACGATGTGGTTTCTGTGACAGATTACTGACTCTGAGTAATTTACAAATAGAATTCATTTTTATGCCTCTAAGAACATATTTGTCACATTCTAAAGTCCAGCAAACTGTCTCTCAAATGAATGAATCAAATGTTAACTACAACCTGCAAGACAAAAGAGAGGCACAGCTCAGTGGTCAAAGTTCATGACCAACATGTTTTTATTTTATTATTAGTTAAGTTTCTGCTCTTTTTTTTTTTTTTTTTTCAAATACACATTGTTTTAGGAGTTTGCTTGAGTTTTAAAATCTCATAACTTCAGGAGGCTGTGTCTCTTCACCTGGCTGTGGCTGAACTCATTCGCTCTATTAGTCACTGATGGCAGCAAGGCTAAAAATAGAGCAGACAGTGACGTGACATCTTGTCGGTAAAAACTAAACTATTCTTTAAGAGGAATGAGTTTCAGGTTTCTCCATTCATGCACTTGGCCAAAGAAAGACACTACTTTCTATCTATGCCACGATGTGTCCGAGTCCACGAGGAGCCTTTTGGGGGTCAAGATACGCAACAGTAAGTATTAGCGTTAAAGGAAAGGCAATGAGGCCATGTTGTGTTTGACAGGAATCTATGGGTTTTTTTTCTATTATTTCCAACTATTTGATAAACAAAAATGTCAATTATACTTAAATTAATTAAACAACTAACAAAACTGGTTGAAAAATGTAATTGCTATCAATATTTGGCGACGGCTGAAAACCACCAGGAGGAGCAGCATAAAATCTTCTACTGCATCAGCTCTGCCTGCTCATCCTGTAGGTCGGAGGGGCTGATCACACTGGGATGACAGCGGGATGACAGTGGGACGATAGTGGGACGATAGTGGGCGAGAGGCAGGTGGGATGTCCAAACAAGGACTATGAACATAGATTGAACTGCTCACATCTCAGTTTCCATCCTTGTTTGGGTCAAAACACAAAAGTGCACCTGTCGAAACTTGTTAAAAACTTTTAGTAGGAGTGGCACAGACGATTTTCTGCAGATTATAGCTATGGCTAAATAAAGTACAATATAGTTGGTTATAGCATATTACAGGTTCACTGAATTTTGTCTTCCATACAGTTCTGACAGAATCACTTTCTAACTTCGTCAACCAGACTCAAATCTGAATTCTTAAATTGATGAGCCTATAGATGGGAAACATTTGTCTCCTTAATATTCAGGCTGTTAGTCATGTTGTTGCCTTAGATCACAAGATTTCATTCATTCCCACCAGTGTTGGTGTCCTTTTTAAAGCCCTGTAACGTGTTTACAAAATCACAGGGACACCACAGATTAAAACTAATTCCAACACCGCAGAAGTTGCTAACTTAGCCGTGTTAGCATCACAGTGGATTCCTCGTCTTATATAGAACATGTCGACGATATATGTGTTAAAACTTTTGTGTTTGAGTGTAAACAGTGAGCCCAGAGACCAGCACAGACTGCGCTCATGTTTTGGTTTCATTGAACTGATTGCAGTTAGCTCACGTTAGCTGAGCGAGCTAACTTGCCTCTGACTTAATGTAGAGCAACAAACCGGCTGCTGGCTGGTTCGCACTCGGCTGCTAAAGTCTTCAGTCTGTGTGTGAGTTAATAAAAAGGATAAAAACTCACCTGGGTTTGTTCAGCAGAAGTCCTCACCAGGTTTGTGAATCACTGAAACTCTTGGAATGACACGTAAGATCGTCCAAACAAGAATTCCGTGTTTGTTTCCGGTGCCGCCGCGTTGCGTCAATTGTCACATCGTCACACATACAGAGTCCGGTTTGACTTTTCAAAATAATAGTAGGGGGGTTTGGACGCTATTTTTGAATGCTTTCATCTTATAAGATAAAATAAGATTTTTTTTAAAACTACATCTATCTATCTATCTATCTATCTATCTATCTATCATCTTAGGTAAAATTAAGGTAAGAAAATGTACAATAATTATGGACAATGACAGTATTGTTATGCTCTCTTATGTATTGCTTGTTTGTTCTTCCATCTTCTCTCCTGCTACAACCCCTCCTGTCCCCCACGCCCCTCATCCCCACTCTCAGGTGGCCTCCTTCCCTGAGTCTGGTTCTGGGTTGCTGTTTGTTTTTTTTGTTTGTTTGTTTGTTTTGTTTTTTTGTTTTTTTCTCCCTGTTGCTGACTGCTTGCTCAAAGGGAATCCAAAAGGAACTTTGGATTGGTGGGCTTCTCTGTTTAAAATGTGTAAGGTCTTGGACTGAATGTGAAATAATTAAACTAATTTATCAGACGGTAATTAAACATTATATTACAGTATTTTATAGGCTCCAGCCTCCCCGCGACCCTAGTGAGGATTAAGCGGTGTATAGATAATGGATGGATTACAGTATTTTGTTTTATTTTTACACTTTGCCTTTGTAAAACAAAACACCAAACAAACAGGAAATAAAATCGATCCATAATTTTACATGAAACAATTCCTATAATCACTGACTTTGCCGTGACAATGACTTTAGAGACAACCAACCCCACTGCACCAAGCCGATATCATGCACTTATTTTAAAGGCCAAATCCTTCTGTTTCTGGTCTGAACGGTTACATTCTGGGGATCTTAATGGTCGATCCTAACGGCCGTCTTTGACTTGGGGATGTTCAAATTAAATGGAGTCTAAAATGAAAACCGCATAATCCCGTGCATTACATAATAAATTAATTCTGAAGATGTAGTCTTTAAACTTCACCATCATGAACACATCAAACATCACTGCTGTTACACCTGTTCCGTCAACGTTATCCAAACTGTCCCATGCACCCCCCACGTATTACGTAGTGGTATGTCCTACACACACTGTCCCCGCCCCTTCATTACTTCTGACCAATCAGAGAAAAACAGCGTGGCGATGGGAGGCGGATGCAATATTCCTGATTTACATAAGAAGACGATGGAAAAAGTCACATTACAGCAGCGGTCTGTCAGTCTGACAGCTTTTAATGTTGTAATTTACACTTTCTACCTCCGGCAAGGAGGTTACGTTTTAGCCGGCGTTTGTTTGTTTGTTTGTTTGTTTGTTTGTTTGTTTGTTTGTTTGTTTGTTTGTTTCTTTGCAAGATAACTCGAAAAGTTATGAACGCATTTTTATGAATGGTCTGTGGATCTCAAACAGGACAGTTTGAAGGGTTGAAAAGAGACGAAACACAAGGACAACTGTGAAGGCAGAATTATATATTTGTTTATTTTATACAATAACATTAAATAAAATATTAAAGCAATAACACACACACACACACATTTTTTGTGCTGATCTCACTACCTCCTGAGAGAGACACAGAAACAGACATCAACACACATATGTAGATATAACAATGATATATCTGATAAACTGTACATGATTCACTTTTATGCTTTGGCCAAACATATTTCATTTTTAACATTTATGCCAATCAGCCCAGTTCTGCTGTGAGCTGTGAGCGCTGACTGAATTGTCTCCCTTCTGTCTTCAGCTCTTTGTCCAGCCCTCTGCAAGATTCCTCCACTTCACTGAACTAGTGGACAGACAACATTATCACTGCTGGCTTTATAGAAACATTAGGTACAGAAACAATTATTTTCTGGAACTCAGATTTTGCAAAAAACAAATACAAAAACCCCACTACAACCTGTTATGTCCACTGATATTACCAACAAAGGCCCTCAGTGAACCTTATGGGGATGGCTCTGTTAAATTGTTATGTGCATCTTCAAATAAAGAGAGAATAGTTGGTCAAATTGAATATTTTCATATCATTTTGCAAATATAAATAGACATAAACTAGGCCTAGTCCTAGAACTGGACTAAGACATTTAGAATTTGATGTCCTGGGTCTGTAGTTATTTATCATCATCTCTGAGCTCTGCTGCCAAATCTCACTGTGACTCAGTTTAACACATAAACAAGCTAAACGTTGGTTTTACTGAAGCCTTTGTGAGGTAAAACGTGACCGTTTGCAGGTTTAATGACGACTTAAAACATCGTTTTTTTCACAGTTCAGCGAGTCACCAACAGCTTTGCTGTACAAACAAAGGCAGCAAAAATGTTTATAACATTAAACAATAAAACGATTTAAACAAACGTTTATTTGTTTTATGATGTTAAACTAAAAAACGATTCACAATTAGTAGTCATGTTGTGATCCTCTTCCATCATGGCGATGAATGCTGCTGCTGTGTTCAGTATCCAGCTCAGCAGGTGACACCAGCGACCTGTCGGTGGGTCCTGAGAGCTCTGAACACACTCAGACTGCTGCATCTGGGCTACAGACCACAGAGACCACAGCAGCAGAGTCCATCATCATCCTGCCTGTTAATAAGTATGTTCATTACACCAGTTGACCAAATGCAACCAAGTTATTATTATCATTGTAATAAGTAGTATTTTGGGTGGAATAAACCTTTCAAAACTGACTTGTAAGACTAGCTGCCCGAACAATGTCCACTCATCGTTCTGCCTCTGGAGCAGATGGTGGCTCATGATTTTGAGCTCTCTATTAAAGTCCACTTATTTTTCCATCTCACTAATGACAGACTATGCGGCTCATAGTTTTTACTCCTTAACAAAGTCCACCTGTCGTTCTGTCACTCTAACTTGGCAGATCGTGTGGCCATACCTTGTAATTTATGTGTAACTGCTGTTTATGTGTAAACAATGTTCCTGTTCCAGTGTCTGAATAAAGCTGTTTAAAAAGATAAACTAAATAAAATGTGGGACTACATCAAAATGTTTGTATTTCAAAAACCTCAATTAACAAGTTACTAGAACAACCCAGCATATCAAATTATTTTACTCATTACAATATTGAAACAACTTAGTTTAATAAATTATGAAGTCTAAAGCCACAACCAACGATGTTCATGGAGTGTTTTTGTGTTTTCTAACATTACGTCTGTTTGTTTCCCTGATGCTAATGATTTTCCACTGTACTATGAGATGAGCTTCACGTGGATATTTCATCCTGAGATAAAAGTGACTCAAGCAAACAAAGAAATGACGGCAGCCCCCTTTCAGGTTCTTATAGATTGAAATCCTCTCGTGTTGCCTTTTAGTGCAAACAGAAAGCACAACAAAGCATCAACAACTGCAGAAGTTAACGCTGTCCAGTGAAGCTTTATTAAAACAAAGTCCTCACTGAGCAACAAATGTGGCCATATCAATAAATACTTAGAATAAAATGTTCATATTTATTAATGAACCATGTCACAGCAGAATTAAAGTCTTTAATAACAGCTGTTTAAGAGGAAGAACCAGAAGGTTTCATCTCTTCTGTCGGCAATATGAACTCAAAATGACAATAATTATCAAACCAGTTGAGCATTTCACTCTAACAGTAATAGATTCTCTTTAAAAAACAATAACTGTTCAATGAATTGCCTTTCACACCTCAACACTGAATATCAGTGATGAAAATTCATTACTGTCTAATAAGGACCGTATATAATGTCATATAAACTTAATTACAACTCATCATGCTGTAGTTGAGACACTTGTCCTCATGTCTCTGTTTGTCCAGGTTTCACTTGAATGTTCTTCAGCAAACCTGCAAGAACACATTTTAAAGCTTCAAAAGGCAAAGTGTGGCAGCCTGCTTTTCCAGGAGCTTCGAGTTTGGAGGTCAGAGGTTCCAGCGCAGGTCACAGACCAGGGCGATGTGGTCGGAGGGGTGAGCCACGCTGGGCAGGGCCTCGTAGGTGGTGACCTCCTGGTGGCTGGGCAGAGGAATCACCTGCTCCACCTGCACAGACGTAGCAGCGATCCAGTTTGACCACATCATCACTCATTTCTTTCAGGACTTAAATGACTGATGGGTGAATACATCCAGAATCATCAGGGGCCTTCTGCTTTATTACTTGAAACATTTTTTTTTAATGATGTGATATATCAGGTTTGTTTTTAATTTTTTTAAATATTGCCACTTTGTGTCACTTACATTAGGCTGTCTAGCAATATTTTTGTTCTTGTGGCACCACTTGTCATGAATCAGTAGCAAAGTTTAATAAAACTAACTTTTTTGTAAGCAAGTATTTCAAATTTAATGTATTACAGTTTATCCAAAATAAAAAAAAATACCCACAAGATGCTTAATTTTCCAGCTCTTTAGCTAAAAAAAAAAAAAGCCAAATATGCGACTAAAACACAGGATACTTGTAAATTAAAAACGCAAATTTCAAACCAGAATATGTAAAGCAATATTTTCTATTGAGTAATATTTAAGATGTACATACTGCATGTAATTAAGATGCAAGAATTCAGGTAGGGCATTGTGGTAAAAATTAAAATTCAATTAAACATCTTCTTACCCCGCGACCCTAGTGAGGATTAAGCAGTGTATAGATAATGGATGGATGGAAATATCTTAACATGTGACGTGAATTTGACTTTTACAAACACTAACTGCTGTTTGCAAAGACATTTTATAAACGTCTGGCAATAGTAAAACCTCGACCAGCAGAAAAATAAGACAAATAATGACTTCATTGGCTCTCCAGTGGTGATCAGAATAATCTGAGGGAGCTTCATTAGTGAAACTGTGTTCATATACAGTTATGTAATGATGCAGCACCATTGTGGCTCTGTGGAAAAGCAAACTGGCTCTTTGGAGGTTCACCAATTAAACCAGCTCTGAACCAGCACTAAAACTAATCCTGAACTAGTACCGGGTTCGCGCTGGTGGAATGCAGCTAATTAACCGTGTTGGATCAAGTTGTTCTCATGAATCAGCATCAGTACCTGCATTCTGTCCTGCTGTATGAAGATGTAGTCCAGGCAGCCGTGAAATCCTCCCACGTAGTTGGTGTAGGCCGGCTGACCGCAGGCGCTCAGCAGAGGGGGGAAGCCAGAGGGCAGCTCCATGCTGCAGGCCTCCTCCGGCCCCGAGCTGCTCCAGTCGGCATGATCCTGAGGAACCACGGCCTCACTGAGCAGCTGGAACACACCTGTGACCAGACCAGCACACCGGACTCACACAGCGCCGCAATCAACACTGCTGCATTTTCTACCACAAGATTCACCGAGTTAGTTCCATTTCTGTTTGACAAACACGTAAACCTGCTCTGAGACTGGATATTTGTAAAATATTTTACTTAGGAAATGCATTCATTTCATCAGTCTGTTCAGTGAGGCTGTCTGACATCTCTGCTATAAACTGTGCACAGGCTAAGCTCCTCACTTGATGATAGACTCTATATTTTACAGGTGTTCCCTAAACGCCTCACGTGCAGACGAAGGCAGCTGCAGGTCAATCAGGTGTGTGAATGAAAATTAATTAGAAAAGAGCAAAAATAAGGCATTTTATGACAGAGTTGCCGAAGTTGGCCCTGAGTCATTTTATTCACATGTGTGGAGAGCATTTTAAATGTCAGCACCACAGTTGATCATGTTCTTCTGACGCTGTGAAGTCAAAACTCTCATCGCTGTAAAAATGTATTGTAATGTATTTGCATTTTAGTTTCGTTATTGCTAATGGATTGGTTCACACATCAGACAGGGGAGACGGACAAAGCCACTGAAAAAGATAAAAATAGTAAACACAACAGCTTCCCGTCTGGTCACCAAATCAGCTTAACAATCATCATGCACTTGTACAAATGCGACCACATGAAAGTTGAACCCACACATTCATATCCAGGTTGTAGGTCGCAGTCTGGAGCCCTGAGAGGCGTTTTTTTTTTTTTT